TATATATATATATTATATATATATATATATATACGTTCAAACAGATAGACCAACGACTCCAGAGAGCAGCCCTGATAATTACATTCTGGACGAAAGCGCTGTGGTGGTCGTTGATCACCCCGCACGACAGGAGGTTCGAGGTCCTCAAATAAGGCGCCGTTCCCTACCCCGTGCACGTGGCCGAACACCCCCAACGCGTCTGTACGTTGCAGTTCTGTACGATCATATCGGCAAAAACACAATTCGTCATGAGTTATTTACACGTCTGGTAACAACTATGCAATGGAGTCCTCGCCTAGGCACACAGCGCATCTATTGTTCGGCCCTGACAGTGTGGAATACGTTTACGACCCAACACAACCTTATCACGTCCGCACCTACTACGACTCAACTAATATGCTTTCTCGAGTATCAATTCTACGAAGATATCTCACCGGACCAAATGAAGAAGATATGGGCCGCCGCAACCAGTCTACACCGTTCTACAGACCTCAATATATCCAGGATAATGCCTGGAAGCACGCAATCCAAAGCTATATCAGCCTATGGAATTAGCACCAGCCATACTGCCGAATCTTCCTAAAACTATTGTGCCTTGGGTGGTGTTGTCTATGTTGAACGACGTCACCAAAAAACAATGACGCGTCGATATCGGGCTTAATTAGTGGAATAAAGCTACTGTTTGGAGTGTCTTGTTGTGAGCTTCGACAGGTCCGTCACCACCACGTTCTTCTGTTGTAACATGATAGACTGTAGTACCTTGGTGAGCTCAGTAGGTATTGAACTGTTGGCTAGGTATAGAACTTCATCTGTCGACTACGAAGGTGTGGACGTGTCTGCGCGAGTAAATCGGTTCATTGCAGAACTGTATGGTGACGGCCGCAGTCTGGTCTTCATGGTTGAGTGGTCTCCTGGATGCAGAGAGATTAAGCCCATTCTATGCAGCGATGACAAATTCAAAACCCTTGAGTCTTCGCTAATAGTCGAGAATCTCAAATTGACCTCATTAGCGATAGCCTGAGCGCGAACTGGTTGTAAAAGCAAATCTCGTGTGGGGCCGGTTGGTTTGTCGGTTCGTATGATTGCGAACACGTGTCGATATCGGGCTTAATCATTTTGCTGGAATATTCCAACAACGTTTATCCTGTGCCCAGACCCTGTGCCGGTCAGATAAAAAGTGGCAGTAGACGTCATGCCAAAGCCTTAAAGCTTCAAAGATCGCTTCCGATGGGATGGCTTAATTCATGCATTAGAGGGGCAGTGTTTCCAACTGGCGCAGCGTCTCGGATTCTCTGCACGTACGCTGTGCTGCTTCTCGATTGCTGTGCCGTCTGTTGTGGATGGGTACGTCGGTATCAGCGTGATCGGATATCGTATATGAGACCTCCGCTGGTGAAAAATTTTCATGGACGAGCCTCCACACCGTCAGTGTCGCCTGCCTCGGCGCCGTTTACACCGTTCGACAATGTATATGATACGCCACTTTAGATCCTGTGCCTAAAGGCACCTCCTGGAAAGGGTTGAGAGCCGCAGGTGCCTCAAATCCAGTGAGTATCTTGGCAAGGTCCGCTTCGTAGGAATTGAGAGACTTTGCCATGTGGCTGTCGATGGTTTGATGAGCCAGATCATGGTGGTGTGACGTTGTCGTGCCTGTGGCAGTCGAGGGCATATTCCCCACCATGTTCGCCCCGAGTTCCTGCGATATCCACCGGTCTGTGTAAAAGCCAGGCTTCCACATTAGAATCTTGTAACAAAAACGTACTCTTAATAGTACGTAAAACATACTCTAAATAGTACGTAAAACGTACTCTTAAAAGTACGTAAACTCTTAAAATGGGTTTTAACTGTTTTTATTAATTAAATACCTTTTCCATTTACATATCAGATATTTAGACAAGGCCAATAGAAGGCCCCAGTAAAATACCAAAAATAGGATTTGGTCTAGTTATATTAATAGAGCTATATTTACCTTCCAAATCTATTTATATCTGAATACTTCGGTAGCGAGATGGCTCAACCGAACATAGGTTCCTAAGGACTATTAGCGTTGCTTGGTTTATCCTCCGTTCAGCCAACCAGATGTGCCAGTCTGATGAAGGCTAAGTCGGTAATTCTTGATAATAACTATGGATATCAAGAGTATTTTTTTATTTTTCTTTTCTTTTTATCTAAAGACAGGATTTATGAGTCTCTCATATTCGCCCCAACGAAACATACCATAGTTTCTAACAGACCGACAACGAAACACTAAATAAAATCTCTTCGGCGAAAACAGTACTGAGAGAATCATATATAGGCAAGGCCTCAGCCTCACAACCCCTCAGAGTATTGCTGTTTTCACGAGGCATACCTAACTTTACTAAAAGACTCATTTCGTTTATATACTTTGAATTTAATTATACTTAGACTTAACCTAAGCGTTTAATTACTCTAAGGCGTTAATATCGCCTTGATAGACCGAAACTTACACATTTTTAAGTTAGCAAAGGTATTAACTACTCAGACTACTTAAACGTAAAGGTAGATAACTACCACGATTTTTTCCCTAAGCACAGTCATTCCTTAAGAGAATACGGCTGAAGTCATAAGTTAAGATTATGACAAAGAAAGGCAATACGCCTGCAAAGAAACGCAAGGCCGAACGTAAAAAGATGGAGAGAGAAGCCGCTAGCGCTGCAGCAGCTACTGCTGCCGCAGAAGCAACCGCCGCTGCTGCCGATGCGTTTAACCGCACCGTAGCCGAAGCACTTGTCTCCGACAACACTAGTCAGGACAATGCTTCGGATAAGGATGAAGCCACTCCGATTAAAGAGACTACTCCTGCAGATAGAGCCCGAGGGCCAACTGTTGCCTCGACTTCGAAGCTTGCATTTACGAAGCCAAGAAGTGAGACAAGGGACACGTCTCAAGACACTCCAACCAATTCTTCTGACGAAACTCAGAACGAAAAGTCCCGAATTATAGGGGACAAAGACGAATCTC